AACGCCTACAAGTATCTCAAGGGAGGGGTGAAGGAGGAGGGAGCCAGACTCTTTTCAGTGGTTCCCACTGAGAGGACGAGGGGCAACGGGCACAAGTTGGAACATAAGAGGTTCCACTCAAATATGAGGAGAAACTTCTTCACAGTGAGGGTGGCAGAGCCCTGGAACAGGCTGCCCAGGGAGGGTGTGGAGTCCCCTTCCTTGGAGATTTTCAAGACCCGCCTGGATGCTCCTGAGTAACATGCTCTGACAAGCTCTAGGCAATCCTGCTTCAGCAGGGGAGTTGGACTAGATGATCTCTATGGTCCCTTCCAACTCTAAAAATTCAGTGAAACTCGCCTGTGGTTAGGCTGCGTTCATCTCTGCTCTCAACTATATCCTCTTAGGTGTGATGTGTGAGCAGGGGGAGGTTAAGTCTCTAGAGGGACCCCTCTCTCCACTTTACAGAGCTCTCACAAACCACACGGGCTCACCCAATGTCTAAAAGAAGCTAAATACAGCCTGGGCCAACAGCCTGGGGGAGGATGCTGGGAGATGGCAACAGCTGATCAGGAGACCCAGCTTTCTGGAGGGATACAGTATTAAATTGTTTTTTTAATTCATTTCTGTTTAATTTTTTTCTCATTTTGTTGTTTTTTTATCATGTTTTTCTTTGGGTTTCTCTCTGTTTTACAGTTCTTTTGGGCTCTTCTTTTGAGGCTGTGTTTGATGCGTTGGCTTCCCATCCGCTGCTCGTAACCATCTCTGCTATGAGTTGTGAGTGAGCCATCACCATGCTTCTGGGTTTTTCATTTTGTTTTGTGCTTTTGTTATATATGGAAGTCCGAATTACACCTGGTTTTCTTTTTTTCCCTCATGATATGTTTGTTTTTCAGCAGGATCGTGACAGCTACCTAACTGTGATGCAGAGGCCTAGAACAACACTGCCTGAGGGGCTGGCAGATATTTGGGTGGTGCCAGAGACTCTGATTTTGTCACTTCTGTGGCTTCGGAGGCAAGGGGAGGGGAGTTCTCTCATCTTAAAATTTTTGGTTCCAGCTTCCTCTATTTATTTCTGACTCCCCATTGGGACAAAATATACTACTGTCATTAGTTCTACAAAGTGCTGCTGTTTAAATTAGCAGACAAAATACATATAAGAGATGCAGAGTTTGGCTCCACAAGAGAGGTAGAGATGCATATCACTGCATCTCCCCCATGAGTGTAACTATGGAAGCAGGAGATCCTTAGAAGTCACAGAGATACTGCCTTTTTAGTTCAGTAAAAGCTTCCGTTCGCTTTTCCTTCTTACTACAACTTTTCCAACAAGTCATTTCAATCCAAGATATATCTCCAAGTGCTTCCAGTGATCTGTGGCATTTCCTCTCTCCCCTTACCACCTTTTCTTCAATCTGTGCTAACTTTCTTTTCATTTTCTTACTGCTGGAAGTCCTTTTCCTGTTTCCAGGAGAGGTGGGTTAATGATCCTAGATGACAGCAGGCCTGCCAGGGGCAAAGGTGGTGGATCTCATGAGGTGCTTGCAGAAACTTGGGGAGGAACCAGCAGTCATGTTCTATGAGAGTACCAGAGGCATAAGAAATGGCAGGAGGAAAGTACTGGCATCCAAATAAAGTTTTTTAGGAAGGAAGCTGGAAACTGGGACATTCAAACTATCAATCTCGGGACTAGATGGGCAAGAGGAAGAATTCTGTTCTCTATGATCGTGGTGTAAGGAGCAGGGATTCAGATTAATGAGGAATTATGAGCACTCTTGAAATAAAGGGAGCATATACAGGAAAGACAGACTTCACGTGAATGGTAAAGGAGACACTTAAAATACAAATGTGTTGTTGGCACTTAAAATACGAATGATGGTGAGGGTTTGAACTGGAGAATGATGAAAAGCTGATGGGTGCAAAAGAGCACAGACTGGAACAATGCATCCACTTCGGATAGGATTTTGTTACCTCATTCTGTCTTTGTCTGTGAGGTCGTGTACATTACTAATATATTGAAAGGAACACAGAGTATAATTTTTGCTCTGTGGTAGTGATCTAATACATTCTCCTGAGCTAAAACTCATTTTAAACCAAGCTTCTAACACAATGCAATATATTTCATATCTCTGTCATCTCCCTGACAGCTCTGTGTAATAAATTACTTTAGCTTTGTGCTAGGCACAATCTGAATGCAGGAAGAGAGATACTTTCCCTGAGTAACAGTTTTGATAGTAATACTGATGTGAAAAAAAAAATAAATAAATCATGTATGGTTTAAAATTGTGTCTCAGCTTGCTAGCTTATTAAATATATCATGTATGATTTAAAATTGTGTCTCAGCTTGCTAGCTTATTACCTTCTTATCATTTTGGGGATTCAATTCAATTGGGTTATATATGATTCCATTGTCTGAAGCTCCTAACTGTTACAGTTTCAGTTCTGTGACAAATACGGACTGGTCTGGACAGCAAGGATGCTTTATCCAGGCTCTTTTCCACTGCTGGGCAATGCAGTGATGGAATGAAATTTGTTAACTGAAAGAGATGAAGTGTGTAAAGAAATCATCTGGAAAATTCATGTTGATAAATTCAGAAGAGAAGTCAATAACACTTGGGTACATAGAATGTGTTACAATACATGCTCAGGCAGGAGCTGTTTGTTTAGATGAAAAGCAAGGTATCTCTACAGCCATGGAAATACTTGATTGCAGTGATTAGTGACAGTCAAAAGGCATGACTAATTGCCTTGTGGCAATTGCAGGGCAGTCAGATATGGTTAAAAGAGGTGAAACCTTTAGGAGAAAAAGGTGTTGTTAACACAGTTAACATCTGCATGTTTTATTCAAAGCTCTAAACGTCCTGTCAAAACAATTGCAGAGTCTTGCTCAGTTGCAGTGTCCTCCCTTGGCTGAGGTACCACATGAGAGAGGACTGGATGGAGAGCCCTTTGGGTTCAGCTGCAGGACTGGCCTGGTGAACTCTGTCATATTGGCTGTGGGACAGATATACAGTTAAAAGATGGCTGGGCTTTTGATTTGCTTCTGAAGGAGGAGGGGAGTACATTTGCAAACTGCCTAGAGTTGGTTTCAGAACAGATCTAATTAAAGACTGCAAAGATAGCCTGTCTGCCAGAAATAGTAAGTATTGATCTAAAAAGATTTTCAGAGACATCGCCAACCAGCGCATGTGGGACTTGGTTCAGTACATACACAGTTGATAACTGAAGATGTTGAAGTAGGGAAGGAGCATGAAAGACAAACTGCCATGGACTGCAAACATTGAACAATATTTGTTCTGAAAACATTATGTCTTACACACTAGAGCTGCTCCAATACACTAGTTTTTTATGGCTCATGGAGAGTATCCAAACACGCTAGGCTTCCACTCATAATGGAAGAAAGGAATGTCCTCTTGCTTTTGAATATGTAGAGGACATTACAGTGATGGCTGATTCCAACAGCTGTATTCCAGTGGCCAGTATTATGCTTTTCAGGAACTCACATGGGTGAATTCACTGGAATTCTGAAAAATACTTTGCAGCCATTTGTCAGTGGGAATTCTAAATGTATGCTCCGGGAGGAATGAGGTACAAGGTCATGAATATAATATATAGTATCTTGACTACTTATTTAGCAGCAGGTAATAGCTTACAGCTCAAACTGGTGTACTCGTAAGATGAAATGCTGCATTAAGCACACGGGATATGCTTATGGGTTCTCCTTGTGGAATATTTGATTAAAGTAAAGGAGCTGTAAGACAGACTTGTAGCTTTTTTTTTGCTTGGAGTCACTATAACTTAAGAGCTGCATTAATACACCATTCGGGTGTGTGTTAGTGGCACGATGTTGGTGAACTTGTCTGAAAAAACATTTAAAGTTTTATTCTTTCTGAGGATATTGAAACTCAGAGCAACTTCCCTGAACCCAAAAGCCAGCCAGTTGTGTATGTATTTCAGCGGACAGAAAGGTGCCCTAGAATAAAAGTACAGTTTTAGGCTTAGTTCTGAAAGCACAGGCACAGCTGAAAGAACAACCACGAATCGGCTCAGTGGGAGAAGTTACCAATTAGAGTCGTTGCTCAAATTTCTGTAAGAGCAGGATCTTAATTATGAGTAAGTTTAGATCTTTGCCCAAGCTTAACCTTATTATGGAAGATTATTATGGCCTGAACCTGGTTTTGCCAGGTGAATTCTGAAAGCACTGCTCTTAACTCTGGTGCATCTAGCTAAGCCGAAAGGATTTGGTGGATGTCCTTACATAAATGCATTTTTTTTCAGAACAATGACATCTTCAGTAAGTGAACTCACATGGTCTAATGTTCTTGTGGAGGCAGTGGTAGGAAGAGTTGGAAGTGTTGCTTAGCCCCCAGAACAGAGAAAGCCTCCAGCTCAGAGGAACAGTCACAGGAGAACTGCCTTCTTCCACAGACCTCTATATCGAGGCTTTATTTCTCAAGGACGTGCAGAACAAGAGAATCGGAGAAAGAGAAAATAAAGATACATGCTGTAGGATATACTGCCAAGAATCTGGAAAAAAGCAAGGACTCTGAAAGTCAGAGGTTCTTAATTTGTTTAAGTCTTACAGGGGATGTTGACGAGCAGTGTCAGCAAAATGCCTATGGTCATCTGGCCTGACCAGGCTGCCCTCAAGCTTTGCTTAGCTCATGTGACTCAATTTTGCACTTGCGCTTCTTTACTAGCTTTTCCCTTGACCTGAGGCTTAAAAAGGAAAATATGATCTTGGATAATGTTCTTAGCTCTGTGCCTATCACTGTATTACGCTTCTAACCTATCACTGTAACCACCTTGCCCTCTCTCTGTAAAATAAGCTTTTCTAGAAATGTAGAATTGGAGAATGCTATCGGATTAGCTGGATTAGAGAATACAAAGGCAGTAAGAGCTTTGTATCCTTTGGGTGCATACGCAATGCCAGGATAGATGAGAAGAGAAGTTCTCAGGAGTTAGCTGCGCAGGGGATTCAGGAATCTGTTCTGTCTCTGAGATTTTCTCTTGTCTCCCTTCAGCCTCGCAACGTCGCTGGTTTTCGAGGAACGGTCCGCTACGCTTCGGTGAATGCACACAAAAACCGAGTGAGTATTTTTTTGGTTATAAGGAGTCATAAGCAAGGTTATTTCTCCTCAGAAACCTGTTTTCAGGGGGAGAGGAGTAAGAGATGTGAGTTCTGGTTTGTCACCTACGGAAGTTAGTGTAGCAGATTAATTCCATTAGGTGTACTTTAAGGTCAAAATTATGATTCAGTTACCGAATCTTTTCTAGCAGCCTTATTAGTTGTAGTTATTTTGTTATCAGACACTGAATTCCATTAGGTGGTGAAGGCTGTTGACTGTAAGGTCAAAATTATGATTCAGTTACCGAATCTTTTCTAGCAGCCTTATTAGTTGTAGTTATTTTGTTATCAGACACTTTTCAAGGGGGGGAAAAAAGCAACTACATGCTAAAGTAGAAATTGGTTTAAGCGCCAGGCTGCTTGCTACTCGTGTCTAGCAGAACTTGGCTATGAATTAGCAAGTGCTAGGTCCCCAAATCCATTCTGCACCTGAAATTTTTAATACTAACATCGTGCTGTCAGACAAAGAGCCACCTAGTGAAAGCTAGGTTTATTTTTCCCTGAAAAAAGCCATTATTTACATAATGTCTGGCCTGTTGCATTCTAAATGCTTCCAGAAGTCTCATCCAACATTCTTCTCAAAACACTCGTTTGTCCTATTCCAGTAATGTTCCTTTGTAAACAGTAAACCATAAATCCTCAGTTTCTGCTGCTAAGTGCTCGTCAGATGGAAACTATCAGCCCTTTTGCATTACCTCCAGGTTTCTGGCCTTATTTGGGTTGAGTCTGTAGGACAACCTGTGACATTCGAGGAAGTTTCATATTTTTTTAGGAAAGGAAGTTATTGTCTGCAGAAGGTGGAAATTATGATATGGGGAGGGCAGTTGATTGCCTTCATTAATTCATTCTGTTTCCTGAGAGACATTGAGGAACCTGAAGTATAATTTTTGGAAGAGCTGAATAGTGCCAGCTGTAGCTGGCATCAGCTGAAGGTATATTTAGACACAAAAATTGCTGTATAATGCATGCTATTCTGAGAAATCATGTTCTAGACATTGGATGTTGAGCACCAAAAATGGCTTCCTGTGCTTTGACAATTTCAGCCTTAATCCCCGTGTTTCAGTTTCCCATTTGCTAGGCCAGGAGGAGAGTGGTATGTGAAAACGTTACAAATCTGTAAATTGTTGTGGTGCTCGATGTTTTGCAAAAGCCCTTGAGTAAGTGCTGTCTTGTGAGAAGAGTTTGAATGATATTTAGCTTAAAAACAATAATAAAAAACACTCTCTACACACAGTATGGTTTTTTTTTTCTTAATCTAGGTTATTCTGCATCCCATTAATAAATATTCAACTCCTGTATATTCAGTGAGGGAGAGTCCTATGGAAAACTTGTGCTTTATTGTATAGATAAAATCTCTTTCCTAATATATTCACAAAAAGGGGGGGAAATGATGTTATTTGGGTGACTGTATTGACATTGCCAAGTTTAAGAAATGCTTGATTTTTGCATCTTTAGTCTTTAATCTGGCTTCTTTAATCATTGAATGGGAAGTATGATTTCTCTTCCTGCTTTTTGAAATGAGGTAGCTCATCTGAAGAGCACACCTGGACTACTGAGCAGCATGGAACTTTGCTCCTCAGTCTTCATCTCTCTTTTCTCCAGGAGATGGGTAGACATGATGATCTCTGGTCCCTCTTTTACATGTTGGTGGAGTTTGCGGTTGGTCAGCTTCCGTGGCGAAAGATCAAAGATAAGGTAGGAAATCTAGTGTCTGTGCTTGAGATAAAACATTACATTGTTGTTATTATTATGACTCTTCTTTTTTCACCTGCAGCTCAGTGCAGCTGAAGTAAAGCCAGAGCTTGCTTTTCATCAGGTCTTGCTGCAAGATGCTAACCTGCTTTTGTGTGTTCTGACATGCAGTGTGGAGTTTGTCTTATTTGGAGTAGCTAGACAAATTCTTATGCAAATTGGTAATTGTACTTGATCAAGCAACTTTGACTTTGTTCTTGCAAAGCAAACAACAACAGTGGAAAGGCTGAGCTGTCCTTTCACCAAATAAACAGAGCCTCTAGAAAGGCAGCAGGATAATGCTTTGCTGTGCCAAGCAAGCTGTATGGGAATTGCAACTGGAAAGTAAACAGAATAAAGCTAACTGTTCGTGTTGTCTTGAAAATACTTTGTGCTGGAGAGTAAAATCCATGGAAAGAAATAGGGCATCTGTGCAAAAGGTTGTCCTAAAGGCACAGCTTCTAAAGAGTGTTTCTGACTCGGGATTCCCCTTTGACTGTTGCCTGTAGTGACCAAATTCATTTTGCTTGGGGACACCAAACAGGAGAAGTGGACACAGTGCTCAGTCTAAGAAGAGGCTGTATTCTAGGAATGATAAAACTAGATGATATTCCAGGAATGATAAAGCTGTACGAATATGAAGCAATAGAAGAGATTCTTGACTCTGAAATACTTTTCTTTTTTCCAGGAGCAGGTTGGCATGATAAAAGAAAAGTATGAACACCGAATGCTGCTAAAACACATGCCTTCAGAGTTCCACCTTTTTCTGGATCACATTGCAAGTCTAGACTACTTCACCAAGCCAGACTATCAGGTAGGAGCCTTTCTTTGTTACCAATCTGATGCGTGGCACTCTGGCATTTCGACTTTCTAATGTTCCTATCTAGCGGAGGAATACCTTTCCTAGGACCAGGAGAAAAAGGTTGGACTACACAGTTCTTCAACATCTCAAAAGTTTGTTCTTCTTCTTCCTCCACTCTGTCCAAAATAATCCTGTACTCCAGACCAGAAAGTTCTTCCCAAGCAACAGGGTGCTTTTGGCTTTCGTTAAAACATAAAAGTTCTGAGATACTCCAAATATGACAGAATTTTAGCACAGCTTGCTGAAATCTGCAAAGAGCCTCAGCAGTGCACACCGACTCCTTTGTTTTCTTGCCGACTCTTGTGGGCCTTAGCTATTATTATCTCTTTCTTAATAATCATCTTAACATTATTTTTTTTCTCCCACTCGCTTTGCTGTCAGCATATATGCAATGAGTTACAGTAGCTCAACCAACACAGTATAACTGAGACAACTTGATTCTGTGTCCCTTTTTTATCACAGTGGTTTTCTCTGTACATTAAAGCCAGAGTGATGAAAACAACACTTTATTAGCAGATCTGTGCAGTCTTACATGAGTGTCTGCTCCTGTTGATAGTGCATCAAATGAGTGGGCAAATGGTAGGAGGGTGTTTCAGCAAACTCTCTCCAACAGTGCCTTTTATTTTAGCCACATACGTGTTGCAGCATAGCAACCATAACTTTTAAAAAAAAAAAAAAGAAAGAAAAAAAAAAAAAGAAAGAAAAAAAAAAAAAGAAAGAAAAAAAAAAAAGAGCCAATACTTTCTGTATAGTACAGTGGAAAAATAACATTTGCCGCTAAGGTGGAAGGCTATAGAGGGATGGAGGTGGACTGAGGAGGTGCTGAGGGAACTGGATTTGTTTAGACTAGAGAAGAAAAATCAAAAAGAGGATCTCATTGCTGTCTTCTGCTGCCTCAAGGACAGTTGTGGGGAGAACAGAGGCAGACTTTTCTCAGAGGCAGCAAGAGAAATTGCGACTAAAGGGAGAAAAAATCAGAATGAGGGTTGTTAAGTACAGAACAGGTACCTAGAGAAGCTGTGGAATTTCCATCCCTGGGGATTTCCAAAAATTGACTGGATGAGGAACCTGGTCTGACTTCGCAGTTAGCCGTGGTTTGAGCAGATGGTTAGAGGTCTTCAAAGCTTCTTTGCAACTTACATCCTCCTATACTCTATTCCAGTTTACATTAATTGTCTACTGATAGTGTTGAAAAGCCATCCTTGAGATGGAAGTGGAAGGAGATGTTTTGAGACAATTTTAGTGCAGTACAAATCACAAACAGCTCTTTCACAGTAGGGAATTTGTCTGAAGCTGTGAATTGCATCTTTACCTTCAGTTTCTTGCAGGTGCAGCTCTGGGAAGAAGCCTCCAAAAGAGAGCTCCCCACAAAAGTCTGGCACATGCAGCTTGCCACCAAACACTGATTTCTCTAGCTTGACTTGGAGGCTTCTTCCAGCCAGCAAATTCTCCAAACGTCTTAACTCCAGAGATGTCTTTATATCTGGACATCTTTAGAGATTTATCTGGATTTATTACTGTGAAATGTTAAAAAGTTAATCAGAGGGCATCTGGTTTTGTCACCAGTACCAGACCCTTAGGAAAAGTAAGGAAATTGGGGAAGTATGTCTACAAGCATATAGAGTCATGGGTTATTTAAAAAGTGGAATGACAAGATTAGAAATAAGGAAACAGAATATAACATATATGGATATAATTTGAAGTTACAGTTCACCATTTCCCTTCCTAGCTCTTTAATATATTTCAATTTAAGATGCATGCCATTCACCAGGTGAGGATTATGACTGAATGCTGTCCTGTAGCTGGACAGATTTGGTGTTTCATATAGCTGCCCAGCTCTAGTCAACCTTCTCCATGAGAGAAATGATGATGAAAGGGAAGCTTCACTGGGCTGGAGAAAATGTATGTCTGGCATAGTTGCATGTCTTCAACAGTGTTGGCTGTGGATCCTTGAAGCTCAAAAATCTCCTAAACCAAAAGTGTCTCTGTATTTCATAGCCCTTAATGAATTTGTCTTCTATGAACTTGTCCAGTCTCCTCCTGAATTCCTATAAAGCTTCAGCATCCACCGTGTGTCAGGGAGGCACCACAGCTTAAGTGCTTGCTGTGAGAAGAACTTCTTTCTTCTGTTTGTTCTAAACTTGCCACCTCCCAGCCTTATTTAATGCCCCTTACATCTCGGACATAACTGTGAACACTGGTCCCTGGCTGCTCTCCCCTTTCCCAGCCACACATCATCACTTTCCTTGGGTTTGTGTTCTGTCCAGACACTAGAGGTGTTACTGACGAGAAAATACAGCAAATTACAATGTTTGTATGGTATACAAACTAAAATATTCTTAATGGAGTGGTGCATACAGGCATAGCTATGGTGGGCATTATATTCTTGCTGAAGAGGGTTGCCGGGCTCATTATGAAATAAATACCTTTGGAAAGCATGTCCAGGTATCTGGAAGATTAGAAGGGAACTGGGAAGAGCCAGTGTGGATTTTTCCAGTTCAGAGCATGCCTGACCAACGTGACCAGCTTTCTGTGAGGAGGTGACTTCTATGGATGCAGAGAGTGCACACAGTCTCTCAAAATGTCTTTGTAGCCAGCTTGGAAAGATATGGTTTGAATAAGTGGACCACAAGGTTGATAGCAAATTTTCTAGACTGCAATGCAAAGTTCATCTGGTGGCCAGCCACTAGTGGTGTCTTTCAGGGAAAAGTACTGGAGCTAATAGTGTTCAGTGTACTCATTGAAGACCTGGCTGATGGGACAGGAGAACAAGAGCACACTTTCACCAATTCACAGAAGATAATAATTTGGGAGAAGCAGCCGATACGCTAAAGAATACTACTACTACTCAGAGACACCTTTATGGGCTTATAGGAACCTCATGAGACTCAACAAGTGCAAGTACAAAGTCCTGCGCTCGGGATGGAATGAACATGTGGAACAGTGGAGGGTGGGGATCAGCTAACTGACCAGGGAGAAGCTCTGCTTCTGCAGCCTGTATGTCTTCGTGAGGTCCATGAAACAGTAGTGTGACCTTGTGACAGAGCAAGCTCACTGCACGTTGGGCTGGATTAGGACAAGCATGGCCAGCAGTGTAAGGGAAGTGATTATTCCTTTCTGTTGGGTACTTGTTAAATTACATCAGGAAAGCTGTGTCCAGTACAAGAAAGACATATAAACTGGAGTGAGCCCAGTGGAAGGCTACCAAGATGACTGGGAGCCAGAGCACATGCTGTAAGGGGAGAACCTGAGAGAAGTGGGTTTCTCTGACCATAAGAAGCAAAGGAACAAAAGGGATCCTGGTTGTTGCCTTCTGCTGCCTATGGGGAAGACTGAGTGAGACTCTTCTGAGGTACACAGTGAAAGGAGGAGATGGCAATTGACACAATCTGCAATTCTTTTCAGAAATTGCAATTAGCTATATAGGGAAAAGTTATCACCAGGAGGATGTCAAGCAGTAGTGGGATCTTCATCCTTGGAGATGGTCAGAACGTAACTTGACAGGCCATTGAGCAAGCTTTGAAGGTAAGTCCTGCTTTGAGTAGGGGGTGGACTAGATGATCACCTGAGTTCCCTTACAACTTAAAGATCTTTTGAGTTCCAGCCCTCTGCATATGGAGCATGTCCTGCCGAGGCACTTGCTCTTCTCCTTATCTCCTGCGTAACTGAGGGTTCTCTTGTCATCTTCCTGGCTCTGCCATGTTAGCTGTTCTTGGGCCCAGCAGAAGGAAACTCAGTATGGGAAGCTTGCAGTAACTGTGGAAACTCTTCTGGTCCCTAATAATATTGTGTCTGCAGGGCAGAGGATCCTTAGACAGATCCAGTAACTGTGCATGACTTCTTTGAGCAGTGGTTATTGTTGGGACTGTTCTGTGCAGTTTCCCACTCTACTCTCCTCCTTGTAAAGCTTTGACCTTTTATCAGAAGTATAAAGGATTCAGAGAAAGCTGAGAAGGCTCAATAAGACCATGCTTCAAGGAATACAATAGTGGTCTGTAAAATCCCAAATGGCCTGCAAAGTCAAATGTAAGCATTACAGAAGTTATAGCAGAAAGTAACAAAAGTTGTTTTGACTGATTGGGTCCTTGGCGGCATGAAGGAATGCTAAGAATAAGGCAGTTGAACTTCTAATTTTAGCATGTGGTTTCTTACTTCTTACTTACTTTCTTACTGCTTCAGTATCAAAGGAATGCAAGGTGGTAAAAGCAGTACCAATTTTTAAATGGCTTCAGAAGATACCAGTCCCTGACACTGACATTTACATCACAAAGAATCAGAAACTGTGATAAAGACTGGGATTAGTGGACAGATGGGTGAGGATGATATAAGGAGCAGAAGTCAGTGTGGCTTTTATAAGGGCATCTGCCTACAGATGTATGGAGTTCTCGAAAGGAGTCTTAAAGACTCCTCCTAAGGGATGTAAGGTATTAATTTCTAAAAGACATTTGACAGTAGTCCTTGCCAAACTAGCAGTCGGAAAGCAAATATAATCCTAAGAATAATTAGAGTAGTATTAGAGGGTAAACAAAAAATATCCTTATACTACCTTGTAAATGTCTGTGAAGCATACTCTTAAATACAGTGTGTAGTTCCATTCCTGCATCTCAAAAAGGGTATCTTGAAATCAGAAAAGTCATAGGGAAGGGTAACAAGAAGGCTAGAGATAGATTTACTTCCAGATGCGGAAAGGCTTTAGATTAGGACAGTACACTCTGAAAAGAAGAGAGGACTGGCATGTACACAACATCTTTAAAATCAAAGGCAAAATGGCAAGAAGTGAATGGAGAATGATTGTTTTCTTCTGCTTCTGATATGAAAATGAGGAATTGCCAAATGAAACTACCAGGTGCCAGGTCTGAATGAGCAAAGAAGAGAGTTCATATAATAGGTGCATTCTTTGCCATAAGGTAGATGTAGTCCAAAAGCTTATTGTAGTCCAATAAGCAGTTAGGCACATTAATGAGAAAACATCCATCTAAGGTTACAAAATACCAGAATTGTTTACTAAAAGCAAGATTGTGACCCTTCAGTTTCTCACATGCAGTTTTCAGGAAGAAATTCCCTGCCAACAGGGGCAGCACAATTCCCATTTCCATCAGAGGTGAAAGGGGGCATTGTGACATAAAGCTGAGAAGCAGAAACACAATTCTATCATAATAAACTGTCACAACAGTAAAATCCCTTCCAAATCAAAGCAGCTGCTACCACTGCCATGTCACGTCCAGTCTCTGTTACGTGTTCCTTGGCCTGACCAACAGTCAACACTGGAAAGTCTTTTAATCAAATGTAGTGCTGTTGCAGGACTGCAGCACTTAATTCTAGGATTTTGGGTCATAAAAAGGAGGAACTCAAAGCTGCAAATAGGCATTTTGCTGTAGTTTGGTGGAAGGCAGTAGGAAATGGCAGGCTCTCCTGGCCTTCTGACCAACAGAACTGGAATATAAATGTAAACAAACAGGGGGTGTTTGTTCATGGTAATTTTTACTCATAACTTGGTGCTAATTCTGTGCCATAAGCCAAATTTATTTGTCACCGTATTATCTCTCCGTATAGACTTTAGGCTGAATCCTCTCAGTTCTGCATTATCTAGCTGAATAATTTGATTAGAAACGCAGGACCTCCCATGGGGCTGTGTGTTACCCTATAGCACCCACTTGCCCTTTGACAGCAGAACAGCAGATTTCCCCGTGTAACACGTTGAGCACTGTTGCTGGTAGTTTCATTCTCTCCTAAAGAATATCTGTTCTTCAAAAGTAACAAGCGTGATGCTAGCTATCATTTAGCACGAGCATCTGTATCTGCCATCTTATCAAGGAGATTTTATCATTCCTTTTACAGTTTTATTTTCTTCCACGGCCAAATGGGGCAGGCCACGTTTTGCACAAGTGTGTCGTAGGGCTCCTGACCAAGCTTGTATTTGAGCTGCAACGAGTCAGCATCCCAGGACTGTGTCCTTCTGTTGTGTTTACGTCTCCTGGCAGCCCTTGAACTCCACGTATCAGATGTACCATTCTGCCTATGTCTAAAGCAGAGCTGAATTTAAACTTCAGAGTTAAAGTAACAAGCCAACTGCGAGATTTCGTCAAATCAGCGTCAAAATGTCGCATGCGCTTCTTTTGTAGATGTAAAGAAATTGCAGTTACCAAGCCAAAACCAGCCTGAGACACAGATGATAATGATTTTATGACATTTGGGTTCATTTTTTGGTATCTTTCGAAGCGAGATGGAAATTTATGGACTTGGTCCTCATGCTCATACTTTAGACTTTTTGTGAGAGCCACCCTCAGCTAATTCACATGAATTGTTTTTGTAAATTTATTCCAGCTAATCATGTCCGTTTTCGAGAACAGCATGAAAGAAAGAGGCATCACTGAAAATGAAGCCTTTGACTGGGAGAAGGCTGGTACAGATATCTTGTTGTCCACTAGCACCTCTACTCCACCGCAGCAAAACACGAGGCAAACAGCGGCCATGTTTGGGTGAGTGTTGCAGCTGCACCAGTCAGGCTATGGACATCCTCGCTAATAAGCTCACTAACAAGTTCATTTTTTGAAAGATTTCAAGGCCATTATGATCCTGGGAAGTTGGAGCTGTGTGGCAGCCACCACTTGATTTGGCTTTATGTATATTTGAACGTGTATCTCAGGTGGTGGAACCCAGATTCAGACCCTTGCTGTCCTGAAAACACATTTTCTATGGGGGTTGAGTGTGTGGGTTGGAATCACATTAATGGATGTCTGCAGACTTTTGGCAAGGATCATAGAATCATAGAATTGCCCAGGCCGGAAGGGACCTCCAAGGGTCATCTAGTCCGACCTCCCCGCAGTCAGCAGGGACACCCCCAACTAGACCAGGTTGCCCAGGGCCTCGTCGAGCCTCACCTTGAATATCTCCAGGGATGGGGCCTCAACCACCTCCCTGGGCAACCTGTTCCAGTGCTCCACCACCCTCACAGTAAAGAACCCCCTTCTAATCTCCAGTCTAAATCTGTTCCCCTCCAGCTTGAAGCCATTGCCCCTCGTCCTGTCACTACAGGCCTTTGTAAACAGGTTCTCCCCAGCCTTCCTGTAGGCTCCCTTCAGGTACTGGAAGGCTGCTATTAGGTCTCCCCGGAGCCTCCTCTTCTCCAGGCTGAACAACCCCAGCTCCCTCAGCCTGTCCTCGTAGCAGAGGTGCTCCATCCCCCTGATCATCCTTGTGGCCCTCCTCTGGACCCTCTCCATCAGGTCTATATCCTTCTTATATTGAGGGCTCCAGACCTGCACACAATACTCCAGGTGAGGTCTCACCAGTGCAGAGTAAAGTGGCAGAATCCCCTCTCTGGACCTGCTGGCAACGCTTCTTTTGATGCAGCCCAGGATGGGATTGGCCTTCTGGGCTGCAGCTGCACACTGCCTGCTCATGTCCAGCTTCTCGTCCACCAGCACCCCCAAGTCCCTTTCCTCAGGGCTGCTTTCCAACACCTCACCCCCCAGTTTGTATTGGTGGCGAGGATTGTTCCGGCCCAGGTGCAGAACCTTGCATTTGCTCTTGTTGAACCTCATGAGGTTCACCTGGGCCCACCTCTCCAGCCTGTCCAGGTCCTTTTGGATGACATCCCCTCCCTCTGGTGTATCGACAACACCTCACAGCTTGGTATCATCCGCAGTGTCCATATGATTGTCTGTTTGGCATATTATATGGCACACATGGCTGGAGCTTCTGTGAGGACTTCTGCTGTGAGGCAGTTGTTGCTTTGCTGTGGGGTGGGTTTGTGATTGCTAGTGAGCTGAACACGGCAGAGTGCCTGCCCTGGTCACACCTCGAACACAGCTCCTCCACCTTTACAGAGTGTTTCATGTGCAGGTGCACAGGTACTCAGAGCTTGGTGCTCAGAGATGGAAATGAGTCCAACCAGAAGTTGATCAAGCTTAGTTCACTGGCCTGTCTTGGTGCTTTTGACAGGCTGATGTTAAGGGAGTAACAGTAATCCTTAGCAATATCATAGATGATACAATCTTAATATTATAAAAGATAAAAGCTATAAGGCCTATTAAGCCTCATTTGCTCATGCAAAGAGGGGAAGTTTCTACTAATCTAAATAGAAGAATCTTCTAATCTAATTGTGTAATGAGCACTTCTGAAGAAGTTTGCAGGCTGCATATCAAGGGTCCCAAGATGCTTTCATTCATCCATCCCACTGGTTTTGTGTCTCTATGTTAGGTGGAATCCTCCTGTGCTGTTTCAGGTTGTCACACCTGGGATTATCTGCCTGTTTTTTTCAACTTGGTAGTACCCTAAAAGCTGCTGAGCAATTTCTGTGGGGCAGTGTGATAGGCCTCCTTCTGTAAGTACTAATTATTTGACCTTTCTTCTTGTCTCTTCCATAGGGTGGTTAATGTCACTCCGGTACCTGGGGACTTGCTTCGTGAGAACACTGAGGATGTCCTACAGGGTGAACATCTGAGTGATCAAGAGAATGCTCCTCCCATCCTGTCAGGCCGGCCAGCGGAAGGTCTTGGTCAGGCACCAAACACGGCTTTCAACGAGGCTGAAGTTTGGGAAGAGACAGATGTGAATCGCAACAAACTCAGGATCAGCATCAGCAAAGTAAAGAATATTTATTTATCTCTTCTGGCTGTTGAATTTAGGGAATGGATTCATAGACTGCTAGAAGCTGCCCGGATCCACTGATGTAACATCCTACATAGTGCAGCCCAAAAAGCACTGTGGAATTCCCTGTGGAAATGGAAAATCGTAAACAATTTTTTTCGCAGAGTAAAACCCATTGGGATTAATTTGGATTTTTATGCAAATGACATTTGGGGGGCAAATAATGCTAGAGTGACTTTTTTGTACAATCATTGTCTAGGATCTTCATACTTCAAGCGGTGGAATTCTAGTCCTTGTGTAGCTGATACAATATCAGAAATGACCCAGGTTTGGAAATCATAAAGAAAAATTTTATTATGTCCTAACCTTTTGGGTAAATAAATTTATTCAGAGATTTCTTCATAAGCCATATTTTTCTACATCTTGAATCATCACTAATTTTTCTCTTTCAATTTTTTAACTTTCCTTTCTAAGAGTAGCACAATCTATAAAGAGGATGTAATCATGGTTTCACCACCGTGAACAATCATATCACTTAATATTCTCATATTTCTGCATTCCAAGGTCATATTAGACATTTTAGCTTGCAGAAAGCATGTAATTCAGTCGGTGTTCCTCAATAATCCCTATGCTGTTTCTCTGTCCTTTCACATCAATGTTACCTTGTTTCTTGGAGGCATCCCCATCCCCATTGAGTGATGATTCCATAGCAAATGTTAAGTATGAGAATCTACCAGTTATTTTGTTTATTAGAACAATTTACATATTGTAAGTAAATTTATATTTGTTGGGTTGAGCTCATTTCTTATTTAAAAATCAGATAGAATATAGGTATTTCCACTATCCTTAGTCTTATAGAAAACGTTATTCACAGACAAGAAATAGTCTCATCTAGCTTGCTTAAAATTCTGCAATGCAAATCATTTGGATCACCATGTTACCTGTATGGAACAGTACCAGTGGCATTCCCCGGTGCTGAGAATTATAAACCAAGTTCATATCACTTCTTCACTGCTCACTGGTAAACTGTGAGCATTCCCAGAAGTTCTTATTTGAAGGCACATGAAAAAAAGAAAAGCCTGGTAGAGTGGAACAGTTCTGGTTCCACAACATACAAAAAAAAAAAAGAGTGTTACAGAAAAATCCTGGTAACTCCTATGTTTTTCTGTTCCTTTGAACCACCAGGTGCTTTGATGCTCTTCAGTCAGACTGAGATGTGCACAAGGGAGTCCTGAAAGTCCTTTCTGCCTGCTGGTTGTATGTCAGGTCTTGGGTACCCAGCACTGTCATTCACAAGCCCTGTCTTAACAGCAGCTAGAGGCGGGAGAGGTTTTGACAACATCCACAGCATGACCCATGACCAGGTGACTCTCCTGCCAAGGGATATGCTCTTTTTTCTCAGTTTCCTGGCAAAGGAGCTTAGGGAGTTAGTCAGTGTGGCAATGAGCACTGCAGTTCTGACAAGCTCTGTGGCTGTGCAGCAATCTATGAGATACAGAACCCAGGGCATCATGCTTTCCAAAGCTAAAGAAGTCTGTCGTTTCTCTCTGGGAGGGTTGTTATCTCTAGGCTGGCTCTTGGCTGTCCTTTCGCTCTGCCAGGCTTATTATCTGACTGTTCTCTGAGAGAGAATCGGGTTTTATTTCGGTCCCGGTCTCCACTTGGAACAAAAAAGGAGGCTGCAGATTTGATATGTAATGGCACAGCTTCCCCTCTGCTTGTAATCTCTGGCATCCCTTGCATCTTTCAGAACTGCAAGGGCAGCTGGTGTGTAAAACACCCTCCTGCTATTCACAGCTTCACCATCCTTCATCTTCCAGTTTTGTAGCACTAGAAGTAACTCTGGCTCTCCCTGTCTTGCTCTTTGTATTTAGGTGATGAGTATATCTTGCCATGTTTTTTCTCCCCAAGAAAAAAACTCAGGGAGTTTTCTCTCTAAGGTCACCCTTATTTCTCTGTTCACACAGTTCAGATCTCCTTCTGTCCTACTTCTCCTATTTCCGTGCTAAGGACAGTTTCCTTGCTTACCATCACTGACCTTACTAAATCCTCCTTCTGGTTCTCCTTCCTCCACTGGATCAAAGTTCTCCTTCTGGTTTTTCTTCCAGAAGCCTCTTCCTCTCTCCCACACCCTCCCCCAATTCTCTGCTCTTGGATCTTACCAAGTTGCCTGTTACCCTACGGTTACATCAGCACTTTGCTCCTTTCAGAAACACACTTGACCTTCCTTTGTCACTAACCTTCTCCTGGCCCGAATGGATTACAGATTAAATCATTATAATCTATCCTGCTTTTCCTGTAACGCCTGCAAGTTTTCCTCCACTCTCCCTAGCTGCAAAGGCTCCTTAGTCATGCATTCCAAACCCAGCCTGGATGGTTTAGATCTGCTAATTTATGGACACTGACTGACTTGCTTTATACAAAGGCAACTTTGTCTTGATCAGCAGCACGTTACCAAGAAGCCTCCTTAGGTTCAGAGCCTCTGGCATTAAAAGAGGACGAGTGAACACAGGGTGTGCTGCAGAGGAGGGTAGAAGTTCTCCATACGAGGGGTTGCGCTGGCATCTCAATGCACATCCCCACCCAGAAGGAGCTGATGTTGCATGGCTGGCAGCACAGCAGAGTTTGAATCCAAATCCAACCGCCTTGTGAATTAGGAGATGGTTTAGTCATGCCAAGTTCATCAGAAGAAAAAGTATGTACCTTGCAATGTAACGCATGGACGCTGCATAGACAAATAGAGACAAACAAGGGCCCTTATACATCTTGGGTAAGCAGTTAGGGTTTGTGCATGCAGTAGGTTAGCCCTTGATAACTCCTTTGGATCAACTATTGAAATGCAAAGGCCACCTTGTTTAGATGTAAAGATGTTTAAATATTTGAATTCATTTAAAATCCATGCCTTGTTTTAATACTAGAGAGTTGCTGGGGTGTATGGGCCCTTGCATTCCTTCACTGAATTTCACTGAATTTCTAGAGTTGGAAGGGACCATAGAGAGCATCTAGTCCAACCCCCCTGCTGAAGCAGGATTGCCTAGAGCTTGTCAGAGCATGTTACTCAGGAGCATCCAGGCGGGTCTTGAAAATCTCCAAGGAAGGGGACTCCACACCCTCCCTGGGCAGCCTGTTCCAGGGCTCTGTCACCCTCACCATGAAGAAGTTTTTTCTCATATTTGAGTGGAACCTCTTATGTTCCAACTTGTGCCCGTTGCCCCTCGTCCTCTCAGTGGGAACCACTGAAAAGAGTCTGGCTCCCTCCTCCTTCAACCCTCCCTTGAGATACTTGTAGGCGTTGATAAGGTCTCCCCTCAGCCTTCTCTTCTCCAGACTAAAGAGTCCCAGCTCTCTCAGCCTCTCCTCATAAGGGAGATGCTCCAATCCTTGAATCATCTTTGTTGCCCTTCGCTGGACTCTTTCTAGTAGTTCCCTGTCCCTCTTGAACTGGGGAGCCCAGAACTGGACGCAGGATTCCAGTTGTGGCCTCACCAGTGCAGAGCAGAGGGGGAGAATGACTTCCCTTGACCTGCTGGCTACACTCTTCCCTATGCAGCCCAAGATACCATTGGCCTTCCTGGCCGCAAGAGCACACTGTTTACTCATTGTCATTTTACTGTCCACCAGGACCCCTAGATCTTTCTCTTCAGTAGTTGTGGTCAGGCTATAGTCCACCCCTAACCTATACTGTTGCTTGTGTAGATTGTGAAAACGCAGCTGGAACTGTACCCTGGAAAAAAAGCACAGAGCAAGAACGAAGGATGGGAAACGAGTGTCTTTGGTCAGATGTTGAGGTTCTCTGTGTTTACCCCCTACAGACTCAGTGCATGGTGGAAGAGGAGCAGAGAAATGGTGTCTGCCCCAGTTCCCCTGTCCGAGTGCCTCCGGAGTCCCCTACCGCACAAGTGCGCTCCCTTCGATACCGCCGGGTGAACAGCCCCGAGTCAGAACGCCTCTCCACCGCCGATGGCAAAGCAGATCTACACGAACGAAGGTTTGCTCACCCTCTGTAGCCTCCTGCTGCTTTTAGGAGTGTCTTGGGAGATTGACTGTTGAGACCAACGTAATCATTCTGTGATTCTGTGAGTGGTCAGGCATTGGAATAGGCTGCCCAGGGAGGTGGTTGAGTCACCGTCCCTGGATGTGTTTAAGGGACATTTAGATGGGGTACTGAGGGATATGGTGTAGGGGAGGACTTTGTAGAGTAGGGTAGATGGTTGGACTCGATGATCCCAAGGGTCTCTTCCAACCTGAATGATTCTATGATTCTATCATTAGACCAGCAAGCACTGGAAGGTCGTTTCTGGGTGGAGGTGTTCACCCCAGGATCATAAAGCCTATGATCTTTTTGATGAGACATTCATGTCTGTTAGTAAGGAGAATTAGTGGGAATGATTCTCATCCTGTCCCTGGATGGGAAGAACTCCACAGAGGGAAGGAGGGACATTTTGTCAGAGGGAAAGCAAAGCATCAGGTTAGGGATAATGTAAATAGTCCCAAAGCTTTTGGCTGATCTGAGGTGGGAGGGAAGAAAGGATCTTGTTAGGATACATACAGGGATGCATGTGTTCTGGGAGCTAGCTGGCAGATCCTGATCTGGTGGGTTTCATTATTTCATTATTTTTCATTTAACAGTAATAATAGTATGAATTTTTTTAGCATATAGCATTGCACTTGTTTCCCCTGTGAACAGTACGCATTACACCCTGATTTTGAGGGTAAGATGAATACCTTCTCTCAGATCCGCAGCAAAGAAATTAACAAAAAACCAAAGAATAATACAGATAACAAAATGAAACTTTTTAAAGTTTTGTGTGCTGGAGAACACACGTGTTAGGAGACGTGCAAGCCCTTGGTGCTGGTAACCCGCTTCGCATCCTTGGTTACTCTTGTCTCCCTCTTCCCTTGGAAAGTCAGGGCATGGACTGTGGTTGCAGGACAAATTGGTGAAAGGCCTCTGTAGAAGAGGCAGGAGAGAGACAGGCCTTCTTCTCAGAGAAAATCTGTCAGACTTCGGTCAAGAGGAACAGTCTCAAGGAGAGGGTAGATGGAAATGAAGGAGGATCAAAAAGAACTGGAGAAAGAATGAGGCCCTAGCACTGCCCCAAATTTGTTAGGTACTGTTGTATTCGAAGTGGCCAGGGGGAAGCTGTAGTGCTTCTCTGTAATTCACAAAAGATTGTTTGTGTTGCTATAAATAATTTAGGGTTTGAATAACAAATCTTGGATCTTGCTGCCTCTCCTTTTTCTTGCTCAGAAGAAAGGCTCTTTAAAATAGGAAAGGAAAAAAGCCAGTCAGCAACACCAGTCCTGTGTATTCACTGAATGCTTTTGACTCCTGCCTTTTTTTCTCCCACTCTTCTTTGTCTATGCTAACAATACAGAATATCCAAAACACATCTCTTTTCTCCTGCCTTCTTCCCTCAGCTCCTGTTTTTAAAATCAAGATCTTTTTTATCCTTAATTAAGGTAGTCTGCAGCAAATACAATTCCACTCTGCCACACAGTCTTCTCTTTATTCTGTTTTCTTTTTTTCACAACACAAACGTGACTCCAGCCCTGGGAAATTCTTCTGGCTTTCTGGAGTAAATTCTTCCACTCCAGGAGTCTCCTCTGCTGGGGAATGGATGAAGACATTGGCAAAATCTTGAATTTCTTTTCTTTTTTTTTTTAGCGACAGCTCTTTAAATCCCAGTTCTTCACACATATGGTATAGGCCATTTTTCATTCTTACTTTGCATACTTAGTGTTCCTTATTCAGCTTTTTAAGACTTGAACAAATACAGCCCTGCTTCTTTCAGATCCATCAGGTGGCTTTTGCTGAGATCTTTGGTTTTGCTCACAACTTTCTCTACATCAACCTGTGGTTCACCTCCTTCTCTAATTCCCCTTTCTTCATCAAAAATCTGTTGTTCTTGCTTGTTAATTCTTTCCGTCTCAGCTCTGACCTTCCAATGTATTCAAGACACCTCGTTTTGCCAACAACCCTCACCTGATGGTCAGTCACTTCTCTGTTTCCCCCCATGATTTCTCATCCTGTATGGTCCTTGTTGAAATCCTTTGGTAAAACACACTCCAGCTGCCTTTTTCTGGGCAGCAGACGCTCTTGCTTTGTGCAGCGAGAGGTGGCCTCTGTGATAGAGAAGCAAAGCAAGCAGCAGGTGCAGGCTGAATGAGAAGCATGGATCATAATGCTGTGGAGCAGAAAGACAGAAGGGCCATTGGATTCCCAGCTGAGATGCTGCCAGGGCCACTGGGGCACAGGGGGTTTCCAGAGCCTCTTCGAAAGCTATTTTTGCAGAAGCTGCTCCGTAAGTAAACTGTGAGCCACTGAACGTCATACCAGCCTTTGTAAAAGGATCCTTGCTGTACTTCCTTCCTGCTCCTCCAAAGTATTTTGGGGTCATCTATGCTCACTGGGATCAAAGATGCTTGCTGTCTTCGAAGAACTCATGTGGCTGCCTCAGAGGCCTCAGGAACCACCATAGAGAGAGCACAGTGCAGCTGAAGGTGGTGTAGGAGCCCAGCAGAGACGCTGTTAACTCAGACAGTAGATTTAGAATTTAGGGGTGTTTTGATTGGGTCTTTTTTTTCATGAATCAGAATTTATCAAAGGGGATGGAGTATATTTATGTTGTTGGGGAAAACTGGTTGTCACGCTGTCATCTACAAGGAAGAGAGATGCTGAATTGGTTGTCATACTGAAGCACTTTAGGGGAACATCTTTAAGCCTTTTTAGGTTCTAGAGAAATATTTTTGCCTAAGCCTGTCTTTCTGAAGCATACCAAGAAACGAGTGAGAAGGACTAGAGAGGTTTTCTCTCAAATCTAACGATCCCTAACTTTAACCACAAACCTGATGTATTTTTAATGGCTTCGTGTTCTGTCTTTAGGTCTCGAATGGATTTACCTGGCTCTCCATCACGGCTTGTGTGCTCCTCCCAGCCAGCCCAGATGCTGTCCATCGATACTGGTCAAGCTGACCGGCAGGCAAGTGGTAGGATGGATGTGTCTGCTTCAGTGGAACACGAAGCCCTCAGCAACGCTTTCCGCTCAGTTCCGCTCGCAGAGGAGGAGGACTTTGATAGCAAGGAGTGGGTTATCATTGATAAGGAAACAGAGCTGAAGGACTTTCACCCAGGTGCTGAGCCAAGCACCTCCGGAACCACAGATGAGGAGCCTGAGGAACTAAGACCTATTGAAGAGGGTGAAGAAAGAAGGCGCTTGGGGGCAGATGCTGCAGTCAGGCCGAAGACGCACGATGGCCGAAGTCGGGGTATGCAGCCTGTAACTGAGGAGGACAGTTCCCACAGACACGAAGGACCTTCTCAAACAGTATCTGACAGTAAACACGAACAGCAGACAGGAAGTCCAGCCCACTCCCCCCTACATTCAGCACCAGCCATCCGACAAAGGAGACGAGAATCTGAACCTACTGGTCCTCAGAGACAGGTAAGATCCCTGGGTCTGTGTCTTGTTGCCTAGATAGCTACGCCATCATCTTAGGAAACCTTAGCTGTGCTGGAGAAGCCTGTGATTCCAAGCATGGATGCTCTTGTGAAACTCTTTCTGACAGCATTTGCAAATGTTGTGAACACCTTAGAAGTGCTCCCTGTAGCTAGTCATTTTGTCCCCTACCAAGGACACACAGTTCTCAAGGTCTTTCAGCCATTTTGGCACAGGGACAAGAGGAGAGCACGGTTGTGGTTGTGGGTATTTTTAATCAGTTCTCTTATTGCTTTCCCATGGTGTTGTGTTAATGACCACTTAGTTGTACGGAGGTGTCGCTAGCAACTCCTCTCTGTGTAGTTTCTCAGCAGCAACAGCAGTGTATGGCAAGAGAATACCCTCTAATCACACATCAGCACTGGGCAGGCCTGCAGCAATGCAAATCGTAAAATAACTCCCTTAAATTAAACTTTCTTCTAAATACCTAATCAAAAGCTCAGAGTAACCAGCACACACATCCCATTGACCTTACTTCAATGACTGGTATTGCTGTTACCAGTTATATACTCACAGAAATGTTCTTTACCTACTGTGTTTTTTCCAGATAGTAGAGGGCTTTTTTTTCTTTCAGTTGTGCTTTTTTTCTGTGGTCCTCTGAAGATACAGAGAAATTCAGTTTTTAGTGGGAGGTAATTGATTAGATTACCTGGGAAAACATGATATACTGTTAGGCTCAGAGTTCCTCCGTCATATCCAATCTTCTTTTCTCAGACATTCATAAGAAGGCTGTCCCAAAGTGTTCACTGCAAGAGACAATAAAATTGTTCTCCCGAGGGCTTTTTTTGTATTTGTATGTTAATGAAGACCTCTCACGCGCGCAGGATCCATAAGTGCAGCAAAGAGCAGGCGAGTCTCAGGTCATGTGCATGGTGATACCCTCCTACAGCAGGCATTCGGGCAGTCTACTTGTTGCCCTATGGAAGGTGGTAACTCCATCTCCCATTCCCTCTTGATCTTCTTCTGTAAAGAAGTGTTCACTGGACTGGAGCGTGTTAAAAGAACATCTTCAGGCGTTGCCCAGCTTTGTCTCTTCTCTGGATCCTGGAGAGGTACAAGATAAAAAGGGCTTAGTTCTGGCAGCAAAACATGAATGATACATGAAACTGTATTAAAAGAATCAAATCAAATCCTTGCCTGCCAGGCAAGGTGTTCCTTGCTAAGGTGTATGAGACTGCAGCATTTACAGGCAGGAGAGAAATGGTGACAGCAGGCAGTACTGGGACTGTCCTGCTGAGCGTGGATAGTAGCTGTACATGCTTCTCATAGAGACTGCATCCCGTTGCAAGGTGGAGATGTCTTCTGTGTTGAAGCAAATCTGTTAAATGCCCCAGATACCTAGAGCTTGGAAGGGTTGGAGAGGGTGCGTGTCTGAATTTGCTGTCTGTACGCTTATTAGGCCTGTGCAAGATCTGCAAGATGCAATGAACATGGTAAGAGTCAGCTGGTAAAAACCTGCTGTAAGAACCAGCAGGGACACAGTGACATACGTAGCTAAAGAAGGCTGGAGGGATCTTCTTGGCCATAGCACTTAATACTGCTGTATGAAATGCCTGGGGCAGTTGGGTATGATGCAGTGTGAAGGCTGCTTATCACTTCACAGTGATACTTAAAAAGCAGGCGAAAAAGGTAAATTAATGGGATTGTTGGTGGTCGCTGCTAATGCATTAGGCAGCCTCGGTTCTCCAGCAGACTGCACATTTTTTTCACTCCTGTGTTCTGAAATACCCTCCAGTTACTCCTGGCCCTCGCTTTGTACATGCAGACTAACACTGGACTTCGTTGGCTGGCCAGTATTTAGTTGTGCTTCCTTTGATGTCTGACTCCTTCAGTTGCCTCTATATATACAGCTTTGCAGTGACATTCATATTCTTCCGTTTGCTGTCACAAAACCAACTGCTGACTCTCCATGGAAATACTGCTTGGTGCCTAAAGGTGCCTGTTCTCTTCAGGTACAGCAGAGATGGAAAGACAGTTGGTTGGGACACTAATAAGAAGTCAACCAAGGGCTTAACTAATGAAAATACTGAAGGCTGCACTAGTAATGAGAGATGTTTCCTGTAGCTCAGGCTTAGGCTTCCTCTTGGTTTGATTGAAGTTGTGATTAGATAGTGTGTGTGAGTAAATCTTCCTTATCTTTGAATATGAACCGAGTCTTTAAGATACATAAGTATGTCTGTAAATGCAGAACTACCATGACACGTAGGTCATAGGCCTTGTTGTACGATTTGGGACCTCATTCTGGTCTCCTGAAAACTGGTGATTATTCACTGGTGTCAGTGTAGATACTAACTGAGAGCAAGAGGATGGAAGGGACCTCTGAAGATCATGTAGTCCCTCCTTGTGCTCCAAGATGGATGAACTAGAGCAGGTTGCTCAGGACGGTGTCCAATCAGAACATCTCTGAGGATGGAGACTGCAGTCTCTCTGGGCAACCTGTTCCAGTGTTCAATCACCCTTACAGTAAACAAACCTTTTTCTTATGTTTAGAATTTCCTGTATTTCAATTTCTGCCCATTTCTACTCGTCCTTTCACTGGGCACTAAGAGGAGTCTGGATCCATCTTCTTTTTCCTATTAGGTATTTATGTATGTTGACAAGAACCCCCCATGAGACTTCTCCAAACTAAACAGTCCCAGCTCTCTCAGCTTTTCCTCAAATGAGGTGTGTTCCAGTCCCTTCATCATCTTTGTGACCCTTTGCTAGACTGTTTCCAGTATGTCCTTGTCTCTCTTGTACTGGGCAGCTCGGAACTGGAACACAGCATTCCAGGTATGTTCTAACCAGTGCTGAGTAGATGGGAAGGACTATCTCCCTCAGCCTGCTGGTAATGCTCCTCCTAATGCAGCCCAGGAGGCTTTTGGCCCTTTTTGCCACAGAGGCACCTTGCTGGCTTGTGTTCAGCTTCGTGTCCACCAGGACATGGTGAACATCCAGGTACTTCTCTGTCCAACTGCTTTCCAGACAGTTGGCCCACAGCCTGTACCGTTCCTCCCCAAGCACAGGACTTTGTACTTCCCTTTGTTGAGCTTCTTGAAATTCATTTTTGCCCATTTCACCAGCCTGTCCAGGCACCTCTGAACATCAGCACAACCCTCTGGTGTGGGTCAGCCGCTCCTCCCGGTTTTGTATCATCTGTGAACCTAGTAAGGGTAAGCTCTGTTCCATTACCCAGGTCATTATTGAAGCTGTTAAACACTAGTGGCCCCCAGTATCAACCCCTGGTTACACCACTGGTGACTGGCCTCCAGCTGGGCTTTGTTTCCTGAAGCATGGTGCCCTGAGCCCAGCAGCTCAGCCAGTTTTCGGTCCGACTCACTGTCTACTTATCTAGCCCACATTCCATCATTATGTTTATGAGGATGTTATGGGAGACGGTGTCAGAAACCTAATTAAAGTTGAGGTAAACAACCTCCCACTTAGTCATCTCATCCCAGAAAGCTATCAGGTTCATCAGGCACGATTTCCTCTTCATATATCCATCCTGACTGCTTTCAATCACCTTCTCCTTCATCTATTTAGAAAAGGCTTCCAGCAGGATTTGCTCCATGACCTTTCCAGGCTGACCAGCCTGTAGTTCTTCAAGTTACCCTCATTTAGAACTCAGCTCTTTGTTCAAATGTCTGAATCTGTTGCAAGAAAGATGTTGTAGTGCAAGTGTGAGGGATGGTGGTGTCCTCCTGAAAGTGTGTGGGTGTAAGAGGGAGCACAGTATGAACAGATGCTGCTGTGGAAGAAGTCAGGTACAGAGGAGGCTCTGAATAGCCTGGGGGAATTTCTGACCCAAATATTCTTACGTATTTAGGTATCTTCCAGTTTCAGCTGACAAGAAGACAGCTGCACTGGAGCGTAGACCTCATGGGAAGCCCTGGTACAGAGGGAGAACAGGTCTGTCCCCCCGTTGGAGCCCTTGTGTCCGTGCACCCCTCAGTGCAGCAATGAGCACCCAGCAAGCTGTTTTAACAGAGCTCTCAGGGTTTACTTTAATGTATGCATTTTAAGAATGTACTAATAAATCTCTGCTTATTTTTATGCACTAATGTGCAGATGAAGCTATAGAAATAGCTAAGAATGAGCGGGGAAAAAAAGATTGGACCTGCACTTCTGTTTAATATATTAATCCTGGCATAGGGTTGCTGTTATTGTTGGAAATCATTTATATCCACACCTAGCAATATAATTTAACATCTGTCAAGTTCTTAAATCTGCTGAGTAAATTCACTGACACTTGACAGAGATGGTAACTTACTGCTGCCTTCTGCACTGGAAAAAATACAAATATTCATGCATTTGTGAGTTTTAGCAATTACTTCTGACTTTAGGCCAACTTACTGCTGCCTTCTGCACAGGAAAAAAATACAAATATTCATGCATTTATGAGTTTTAGCAATTACTTCTGACTTTAGGCCTGTGCAGATAGGTATTTCTTGCCTCTGAATCTCCCTTGCTGCTAGCGCAGTTGGCATTGAACAAAATGTTTTGAGACTTGCCTGCCTAAAACATGCTTCTCCGAATGAGAGCACATATAAAAACACAAGAAAAGTGAAGCAGTAGTGGGAAATTTTGTTAACTCTTCCTTACCTATTCTTGGATATATTCTGCAGTGTTCAGGGAGCTTTTTGCTTACGCTGTGTCTTACAGTCCCGTTTCCCAGAGTCAAGAGTTCTTCTTTTAGGAAAGGTCCCAATGTGAAGAGGCACTGGTGTATTTCCTCACCAACTTAGCTGTGTAGTTAGAATCACTCTTAAAAAAACCTCCCTTGGGGGGTTTATATTGAGTCTCTTTTCTCTCCCTACCCCAGCCAGCCTCTAACAGCCAGGAGAACATCACAGATGGACTTATTTCAAGTTGTCCATGTTTTGACCCTGAGAGTGTAGCAGCTGTGAAGCTTATGAGTCCTTCTCAATCGTACCCCATCATTGTTGTCTTTGCTAAGAGTTTCCCCA